TAGAGATATTTAATTCAGTAGATGAATTAAAGCTGAATCCATAACATTCACATCTTCCATCGTTTGAAGTTGGTGCTCATCAAAATTTTGCAATGCAGTTCTTCAAGCAATATTTATAAAAGTGTATATATTAGGGGAAGGTTTGCATTAAAATGAAGATATTAGTGAATTAAGGGACACAGGTGGCGCTGTGGGTTAAACCACAGAGCCTAGGACTTGCTGATCAGAAGGTCAGCGGTTCAAATCCCCACGACGGGGTGAGCTCCCGTTGCTCGGTCCCAGCTCCTGCCAACCTAGCAGTTTGAAAGCACACCAGTGCAAGTAGATAAATAGGTACCACTCCAGCGGGAAGGTAAACGGTGTTTCCGTGTGCTGCTCTGGTTTGCTAGAAGTGGCTTAGTCATGCCAGCCACATGACTCGGGAGCTATACACCGGCTCCCTTGGCCAATAAAGCGAGATGAGTGCCACAACCCCAGAGTCGGCCACGACTGGACCTAATCATCAGGGGTCCCTTTACCTTTTATTAGTGAATTACTGCTTGCAGAAATGTGTGCATTAATCAAAACGACATAGAACAATGTGTTTAATCAGATAAATTTGCACGTTTACAGGCTTCTATAGGCATGGCAGCACAGAACAGTCCATTGTTTGGTGCAGGTGGTATAACATCTAAAGGCTCTTGTAGGCCAGATTAGGTATTACAGGACCTGTGCAACTGCCACTGAAAGCTGCAGTCCTGTACATCTGCCTCCAAATTCCCCCTATAATGTCTACAAAATGCATGCCATACATGGCATGAATGATGTTACTTTCTCACACCAGCTCCACTTCATTGACTGTGGAGGTGAGAAACTTGCAACATGATGATATCATGCTGTGACATTAGCAGTGAAGGCAAGAAGAGGAGAGATGTGTCATGAACACATCTGCCCCAAGTAGAGAGGCACAGCATGAGTTAAGAAGCAGCCAGCAGCAGGGAAGCTTGCATTCCCCACAGACAGCTGGGACTGGTCGGCTGTCTACTCCCCCTCCCCCTCCTCCTGACAATGAAAGGAATGCAGATAAGACGCTAGCAGAGAGTGGGATGGAGAGAAGCCAACTCGCTCAAGAAGCACAGGCAGGCTCAGAAAGCAGGAGGGGGGGATATTTCCTCACCGGAAGAGGAGGCAATTAATCCTATGAGCCCAAGGAGTAGACGGATGGGAAATGTATTAGACAGGAAACAAAACCAGAAACGTAAGGGTCATAGGTTCAGGATATTCTGCAGAAGCAGGAAGAACTCATCAGAAAGGTCAACTGAATTGTAAGTTATGGAAGCTCCAATAGAGCTTCCAAGGCTGGTTGTTTGTTTTGGAATAAATCTTCTAGCTAATTACGATTTGCGTGCTGTGTTATCAAGACGGCAGCCTGGGCTCCTGACAAGATGTGGCGTCTTCCATCATCACATGTCATAATGTCTAGTTCTGACTGGACTAACACATCTTGAGAAAGGCTATGTTCTAACCACATTCCAATTCATAGATTTTGGCTCAAGATTTGTCAGATCTGTCCATTCCTGTGTGAACCTGCATGCATATCATGGGCAACTTCTGATGCCCTATACCAGGGCCCCCTGCTGCTGTCTCCAGAAACAAGAAGTTGATTCCAGAGAGCATTCCACCCATGGAGAGCCACTGCAGAAAAGGCCCATTCTCATGTTGCCACCCTCTGAACCTCTCATGGAGGAGACACATGGAGAATGGCCTCAGAAGATGATCTCAGGGTCTTAGTAGGTTCATATGAAGAGAGGCAGTCCTTGAAGTATTGCAGTCCTAAGACTTCATGGGTCAAAACCAGCACTTTGAATTGGGCCCGGAAACTAATTGGGAGTCAGTGCAGTCGGACTAGGATCAGTGTAATATGCTCAAACCTTCTTGCCCCCCTGAGCAACCTTGCTGCTGAATTTTGCACAAGCTGAAGTTTCCAAACTGTCTTCAAAGACAGCTTTATGTATAACACACTGCAATATTTTATTTTGTGGCATTTTGTTATTGCTTTGCTTTGGTTATATTGCTTTTATTTATTTTTACTTTTTGTAAACCGTTCTGAGAGCTTTGGCTGAAGAGCACCTGCTAAATACTGCAAGCAAGCAAATAGTTGATACTCAACTTCTCACACATGCATAGCCACTCCATCTTGCTTTATGAATTCGCACACAACATAGACATGTGTTAGTAGACAGATATGGTGAATTTAGCATATCCAGTGCAACACAGGCAATTAGGATGGTGATGGATGTTTTAAGGGCTCCACTAGCCCGATGCCATGCACATTGAACTTGATTAGCATTGTGTCCACTGTTTGCATTGTCAGCTCACATATGCCTGTCGTCTTGTACAGCTTCCTCAAGCTGGCGTTCCAAAATGATGCACATGTCACATCAAAGCAAGCAATGTCAACTTGCATTGCATTACATTCTATGACATGCTGTGATCTTATGTAACTGAACACAGCACATTCTGTCATTTTGCACGACAGGATTAAAGAGCAGGGAAATTATCTTAAAATAGACCATAACACATTATACAAAGCTATCTCTATCTTCTCCTACCTTCCAAGATTACAATTATCCATTAGACGGCACAGGCACATAGGAAACTTGACTGAGTATGGGACTGCCCTGGGTAGACTAGTTTGAAGTTACTTGGTCCTTTGTCCATCTCCAAGTCCACAGCATCTGAATGGCATCACACTGACTACCCCTGAAATACACTAATATATAACCACTTCCAAACCACAGCAGTAAAAATAATAAAACAGCAGCATGTCCAAAACCTGTATCAGTTTTATTTATTTATTTTAAAATGTGGGTTTTTAAAAGTCTTTTAAAAGTGGAACCTGGTTTATCAGGGCAAATGGGTCACTGCCCCACCAATCTTAGTCTACCCTCAGCCTCAAAATCACAGTCATGAGGCACCATCATGTTCTGCCTTGGGTTGACAGGCTGTGGGGAATGAGAAGGAGGGTGAAGAGGAGTATGGGATGTGGGGGCTCATGCAGCAGAGCAGAAGTAAGATGAGGGAGTCCTCCTCTTTCTCTGAATCTGGCAGCTCTGGCTGGAGAGGCCATTCACATAAGACATGGGGATCTCGTGAGTAAGCTCAACACACCTTGCCTTTAAATGTTTGGTGGGTGGGCATAGGAACCCATTGGGACAACTCAATAGCTCCCATGTGGTCTGGGAACCTCTTGCCCTAGTTTTGAACTCAGGACCTCCTGCTCCTAGCTCTGCTAGTCCTGGCATTCAAATGCTTAGTCAGAACCTTGGAGCTGGTATAACTCCGAGTCTGTTGGTGAGTCTGAGCCGTTATGCTGCCTCAACAAAAATCTCTTCCCTCCTTTTAAGAGCCTCTACCATTGTGTTTTGGATGTGTCAGGACATAGCTCAAGCTCCTGAATTGGGCCTGGATATGCACCAGCAACTCAGCTTCCAGTCCATTGATTCCTGGCCAGCAGAAAAATTATTTTACTGGTCTTGATAGTCATATTCAACCATTAAGTTTCAGGAAGGCCTCTCCTCCTTCCGGAGGGGAGGTGTTGTGGGCGGGAGACGACTCCCGCGTCATGCAGGGAGAGTTATGCCCCCTGCCCCATCCACATGGCTGGTGCGCCACTCCTCCCGGTTGAGCACCCAATCGGGCGGCTTGGTGGGGGCGTGGTTTGCTGCTCAAGACGCAGCCGCGCCAGCCATTCAGCCCCTTTGCTCACCTTCTCGTCGCGAGTCACCCACCCACCACTCCCTTAGGGCTTGGGGCTTAGCTTTTCTCCTGACCTTGCTATGGACCTATGGTTGGTTGCCCAGGTTGCCCAGGGGGCCTGGTAGGGATTTTTCCAACTGGCATTAGGCCTTTTGGTTTTTTCGCCTACCTCGTAGCAATCGTCACAACTTTCTTGGTATTGGGCGGTTAGGCATTGGAATGTGTTGTTGGTGTGTGGAAGGGCAAGGCGTGGCCATCACCTACCCCTTCAAATTTGGGTATTCCATTAAAGGAACCCAGCGGTTGTGTATCCTGTCTGATGCCTGTGTGACAGGGGGCCATGGCACGACCCTCGGTGACATCAGGGGAGAGCTTATAGTTGTATTAGCATCAACAGGCTCCCCCTACTAGTGGTTAACCCCCTCTTCAGACTCACCCCTCTTCAAGTGGGTGGAGTCAAATTTTCCATGGTCTAATGCCTAAGCCAATACCTTCTCACTTGCTGTAATCAATGAAGTTGTGGCCTTTTCTTGCCCATTAACCTTATATTCTGTGTCAACGTGTCTTTATTCCACCAAGCGGGGGTCGGGTCCTCGAAGCACAACAGCATGCCTTTGAATACTGATCGCAGAATAGGGCTGTTTTCTTTGTTGAAGTAAGGGTAGCAAAAATGCAACTAAGAAGCTCACATCATAAAAATTTATTTGGAAATTAAACCAATGTCCAGACTTAACATTCAAAAACTTTACTTGCAGAAACTGATAGTTATACAGCAGATGAATTAAAACGTAACATTTACAGTCACATGCTTTTCCAATCATGGGTTTACAGTTTCTTCTTCTAACTTCCCAACAACCAGATTTTCCTCTCTTTCCAGAGCTCAGCACTCAGCCTTTCATATCTTAATTAGGCCATGCCTTGCGGCACCTGTGAGAGATTTCCATTTTTACCTTCTCTTGCAGTTTTTCTTTCAAGCAGAGAAGAAACCCTCCAACACTCTATTCAACTTAGCAGTGTTCACAGTGGATTAAAACACAGTCATCTTGCTTCACATAAAATGGAGTCTCTCATTTGCTAGATACTTCCCATGTGACCAACTTTAGCCAATCACATGAAAACTACTAAAGAACTCTCTAGAATTCAGTTACCGACCAATCAAATTTAAACACATAATAATGCATACAATTATTTACAATTTCAGTGAAGTAAATTACTATACTTAGCAGTCTTCACATCCTGCTTACAGACTTCCCAGCTCACTCTGATGGGCTACTGTTAATAACGGGAAGCTGAACTAGCAAGGCTTTTGATTTGATCCAACAGGGTTATTCTTACATTTTCTTGGCCTGAAGGTACCGTATTTTTCGCTCTATAGGATGCACTTTTTCCCCTTCAAAAATGAAGGGGAAATGTGTTTGCGTCCTATGGAGCGAAGAGGCCATAGCCCCATGACCCTCTCCCGGCTGGAGAGGTGACGCGCGGCTATGGCAGCAGCCTCTCCGCTGCGCCTTTCCGCTGCTCCCTGACCTGCTCTTTGGGGCTGGTGGTGGGCTTCCCCCCGCCAGCCCCAAAGAGCAGGTCGAGAGGAACCTGAATGCACCTTAAATGGCACCTTGTTTTAGAGCGGGAAAACAAGAGGGGGAAAATTCTCCCTCTCTCTGTGCAGCGCCTCCTGCCGCTTCACTGAAGGGAAACTGGGCAGAGAGGGGGAGATTTTTTTTTTTCTTGTTCTCCCCCCTCTAAAACAAGGTGCGTCCTATTGTCCGGTGCATCCTATGGTGCGAAAAATACGGTAAGTTGTGTGGAAGACTTCACCTAATAAATTTCTACATGCCTGGATATTGTTAATGAAGCGGGGCCAAATTAAAAAATCAAATTCCAGTTATCCTATCCAAGACCTGCTATCTGTCAGCTGAGTGCAAAGAGCTCTAAAATACAAGAGTCTTATTTGGCAACTGAGCTTAATTCAGTTAAGTGATGATTTCACCTTGCATGGTTTAAGGTTTTAACTATGATTGATATAGAACCTTCTAAAACATAAGTAATTATGGATGCCTGGCAGAAGGGGGGGGGCATTTGAACTTCTTCACTTGCTTTGTGAAAGGCAGCTATAAATCCTTCAGTATTTAATTGCTGCAGTTTATATGGCAGCACCTTTTCTGCCCCTGTCTTCTCTGTCACGTCTTCCTTTACTTTTTACTCTGCCAAAGATTTACTTTTCCCAATAATTAAATTAAATTAGATAAATTAAAGCCTAACTGAAGCTAATTTTGCATAATATCCCAAACCATTTGTGTAAGACTTCTAAAAAAGAAATCTTCCAGCTATTTCTCTAGGCAGTAGGTTAGCTAATTATCTACCTCTCCAAGCAGCCTTTGAGCTATCACGGATCATATGCTTAGAAGGGGAGAAAATTCATTCGATTGCAAAATGAATGTCCATTACCATCCTGATGTATCATAAACATTCTGCTTTCCTCCCACCGGGAATAAACAATTCTTCCTCTCTGGGAAATGTTTGATCACATAACATAATAAGCAGATTACATATTATCATTATCCTCTGAATATCATCAAGTCGGCAATTTATTCCTGAAACTTGTGGGAGATGCAAATTTGGCTGAAGTTTAGAACTCCAAAACTTTGAAGGTGAACCCCGACTGCTCATGGCCTCCAAATATTTGCTGCTGTTTCAGAGTGTGTCTGTCCATCCAGCACATTAATTCACCACACCAGAGGCGGATTTAGAGGAGCCTGACCGATTTGTTTACATTGGATGCAGAGTCTTGGGGCCACCGCTGAGGGCACTATGGTTTAGAATGGAGCAAGACAGGAGGAGGAGTGCTTAATTTTGGCATCACACAGGATGCTGCCGAAATTTGAGACCCCAAGATTCGCCAATAACCAAAGCATATTTCCAAGTTTTATACTTTTCATTGAGTTCCTCAGAAGTGAACTGTACAATCCTATGCCTGGGAATTCAGAGGGCTTGCTCTCAGTCCTCAATCCACCATATGGCAGCTCCATATTGCACAAATAATCCCAAACTGGGGAGGGAGAGGGGGATGAAAATGGAAAGCACATGATGGGAGGAGCAATTGTCTTCTTATCTCATTCCCACCCCCCAAAGTCTATGAACAGATAATTACTTCCACCAGGTCCTGCTCTGTAGAATGTTTGTGGGCAACTCCATGGAACTGGGGAGGGGGCTTAGCTCTAATAAAGGTGTGCTCCTCACTCAGACCCTGTCTGTGACCTCATTTTCAAGAATCTATGGGCAGCTCTTTCAGTGGAGGGCCACCACAGGAACACAAAGTCACAGGAGTGTGCTGGTCAGTAATCAAAGAAGGAGTTAATGCTTTATGGGCAAAAACACAATCTCTACTGACTTGGTTGAGTGTCTGGCCTAATGAGCAGACCAGTTCATTCCTGGTGGTCTTCCTCCATGAAAATCAGTTGCCGAGACTGACAGTCCCTGCCTCCTCACAGCTGTGCCCTCCTTTCCAGGGCTTTCCCCAAGCAATCAGAGACTACGCCTGCATGCAGCCCACCTATCCACCACTCTTTTCATGCCTCTTCTGGTACTGGGAGACCAGCGGGAGGGGAGCTTGTTGCAGGAGGGGAAGACACCTGTGATTCTTCACCAGCCTGAATCAACTCTGCCTCTTGGCCTCCCTACATCCTTACCAATGTATGGTGAATGTGGCCTATAAGGGTATACTAAGAAAGCAGAGACATCACCTTGCCAACAAAGGTCCGTATAGTCCGTATAGTTAAAGCTATGGTTTTCCCAGTAGTGATGTATGGAAGTGAGAGCTGGACCATAAAGAAGGCTGATCGCCGAAGAATTGATGCTTCTGAATTATGGTGCTGGAGGAGACTCTTGAGAGTCCCATGGACTGCAAGAAGATCAAACCTATCCATTCTGAAGGAAATCAGCCCTGAGTGCTCACTGGAAGGACAGATCCTGAAGCTGAGGCTCCAATACTTTGGCCACCTCATGAGAAGAAGACTCCTGGAAAAGACCCTGATGTTGAGAAAGATGGAGGGCACAAGGAGAAGGGGACGACAGAGGACGAGATGGTTGGATAGTGTTCTCGAAGCTACCAGCATGAGTTTGACCAAACTGTGGGAGGCAGTGCAAGACAGAAGTGGCTGGCGTGCTCTGGTCCATGGGGTCACGAAGAGTCGGACACAACTAAACGACTAAACAACAACAAAGAAAGGATTGGCTACAGCTCTGTCAAGTGTCTGCTCAGTGGCCAACTTGGATTTGTCACCATATAATTTGTAAAAGTGCCCTGGGTAGAACTCATTTGTAATGGAAGATAGCAGAAGGGTTGGACCAGTCATTTATACTATCATGAAGTCCCATTGCCAGTTTATCTTTCTCTTCTAGCAGGGCTTTAAAAGTTAAACTGTCCATAAGGTATTTTTGCCACATTAATTTCCCTTGAGGATGTCTTACAGTGTCTCCAAGTAAATCACAGCCATGACTGACTATATCTGTGGGTGCATCATCGGTCCAGATGAATTAGACAAACCACCAAAGATGAACTCCAAGAATGCAGCTAACATGTCATGTTACCCTCTCCAAAGCTGATGTTCAGAACAATTAATCATGTCCAAAGTACAGACCATATCAAGGTAATTACTTTTAAATCCAGCCCAATCATCATGTTTTTAATACCAGAAACATACAAGTTGAGCTTGGGATGTGTGTGTATGTTTCAATTCTGATGGACGCAGAATCATAAAAAAGCAAAAATGTGTCCCTGATGGTAAGGGATGAACTTCTTTGTTCATTAATGAATGATATTTTCCCTGTCTTAGGGTTTATTTTTCATTTCAGCAACACGGAGAATTATCTGCACTGTATATGGACTCATATCAACCTGTTTAACTGAGATAAAAGACACTTATCATCTTCCATTTTTTATATAAAAAAGACAACCCTCATTTCAATTTTTATTTTTATTTTTATTTTTATACTGTCGCTGCTCCATTACTTGAATAGAGGGTATGTCTTTTCCAGATAGCTCTCAAATACTTCCTAATTTCACTTGGCCTGGGGAGTTTTTTCAGTAAAAAATACAAAAAAACCCAATTAATTCCATTTTGAAGTCTCAGAGGCAATGCTTGACAACATTCCATTTCTTTCCATGAGAGCTAATAAACTAAAAAAAAAAAAAAATACATCTGTAAAATGAAATAATTCAAGCTTCAGGATCAAAGAAAAATAGCATGGGGGAGGGAATCATCAGTAAAACAATGAAATCCAAAGGAAAAACTCTAAGACAAAGGATGGAAGCGGGAGGGAGTTTAGGAGGATGCAAGTACCATTATACACCTGTGTCTTGACACAGGCATAATGAAAACAATATGCTGAATTAGAGCTTTGAGTGACAGAAGAAAATTGGAATGTGAGAGTGAATGGAAGACCTCGGAGTATAGAAAATTTTTAGAATACTGGATTGGAACAAGGAAATTGTCAGGCAGAAAACTATTTAGAAAACGTATAATAAAGATAGCAATTAAACCAATCATACTCATAAAACATCTTGTTTTGGGGAGGAATTACAATTCATTTTCATTCCACTAAATTTCTCCTTCATTTGCAATGCATATGTCGTCCATGTCACACTCATTTATAAAATATATTTTTAAAGAAATATATATATATATCTTCTCTGAAGAGAGTATGTTTAAATCATAGATCAAGATGCAAAGTTTTTTAAAAAAACAACAACAACAAAAAACAAAATTGCCTTGATTATTTCTCCTCAAAATCTGCCCCCTGCAGATTCTGAGACTTAATGCACAAACATGAATATCTACTTAAAAGTAAGTTCCATTTAAGATTGTAACCTAAACATCAGCAACATGTGACATTTGCCAACTGGGTTAGACACCTGTCAGTACCTGAGAGGCCACAGCACTTGCTATCTAAAGCCCTGTGTTGGGGGCAGTGGGTACTGAAATTTGAACACTTTTGACATTTGATGGATACTAGTATATTAGTTGAAAACAGTTTATTGAATACATATATGCCAGATCTTTCTTTGAGAGACCTTAGGTTGTCTACATGGCTCTTCTCCCATGCTCACCCTCCATTTTAACCTCCTAATAACTCAGGTGAGTTTCATGCCCAAGTGGGGAACTGAACTCCTCTCTCTCCAACACTTTAAAGAAGGGCCCTAATGGATCATACCAAAAGCCTACAAACTTCAGCATCCTGTTCCCACAGTGGCCATTAGATTGGAGAAGATGCTAGAATTCTCCCTGATTTTCTCCTTGCTAATTTTTCATGTACAGGAAAGATAGGGAAGGATTCTCTCTCTTTCTCTCTCTCTCTCTCTCTCTCTCTCTCTCTCTCTCTCTCACACACACACACACACACACTTGGAATCTATAGTACAGTACCAGTAGATCTCTATTTTGTGGTCAGCACATAAGATAAAGTTCTGACGTGTTTTCTTTGTTCCCCTGGAGAGCCAAGGCCATCCCTTGCTGTGACTGATAGAGGAGAGAACTGTTTATGCAGTTGTGTCCTTATTATGGTTTTGCTCAACAGTTCAAGTTTTACGCATTTAAAAGTGCTCTCTTTTGAAAGAACAAAAGGGGGGGTTGAGTCAGTTTTTAAACTTACTACACAGAAACCCTTTCCTTCACTTCAGCATCCTGTTCCCACAGTGGCCATTAGATTGGAGAAGATGCTAGAATTCTCCTCCCTGGTTTTCTCCTTGCTAATTTTTCATGCACAGGAAAGATAGGGAAGGACTCTCTCTCTCTCTCTCTCTCTCTCTCTCACACACACACACACACACACACACACACACTCATATGCACACACACTTGGAATCTATAGTACAGTACCAGTAGATCTCCACTTCATAATTTTGACAGCATAGTTCCTTCAGTGACAATCCTGCTTAATTCTCTAACCCAGTGCTGGCCTGATCAACCCTTGGTCTCCATAGTGGTGCTGATAGAGGATTTTAGTGTCTGCATTTGATGGCCTCAATTGCAGCCACAGCCTTTTAATGGGAATGTGTCTTTCTTCACTTCACTTCAAAATGTAAGAAGATGGTCCTGCTGTGATTGCGGGTCTTTCTGCTCATTCTGCTGAATGAGGCCTTGGACCTCTGTCTTGAAGTCCTGCTTTGAGTGCACCTATGGGTTTCTACAACATCATCAAAGGCTAGCCAAACCTTCATGGCAACATCTGTTTCGATGACCCAAAGCAATCCACATTCCATGGGCATCCATACTAACAGGACATATTTCTTACACCATTGACTGCATGGCCGTCCTTTATACAAATGTGAGCATTGGGTTTTGTTTTGTTTTTTCAAAGCCTCACTTCTGCCTGCTGTTATCCCTCAACCTTTCAATGATGAGCTCTTCTGAAGCAGAGGCTTTGCTAAGAAGCGCTCTTGAGTGCTGCATAAACAAAACAATTGAAAGAAGCATAGGGCCTTTCAGGGCAACAAATGAAAGAAGACAAGCTGCTTTGCAGATTTGCCGTGCTTTCTTTGGGTTACAATTATTATCCTATCTGCAATGAATACTGTTATTTTGTGCATGTTAAAATTTGTATCATGACAAACATGATTCCAAAGAGCCCTCTGGGCAACTAACAGCATACTATTAGAATCCTACAGAAACAATATTGAAACCATGCCCACTTAAAATACAAAAATATGCATTTTTTCATGTAATTATAAAGTAGCAGCTGCAGAGCCAAGTAGTTTTCTTTTGCCCCAAAAAACACTTTTGGCTGATTCAAGAAAAAAATGTAAATTAAGGAAATCAGCCCTGAGTGCTCACTGGAAGGACAGATCCTGAAGCTGAGGCTCCAATACTTTGGCCACCTCATGAGAAGAGAAGACTGCCTGGAAAAGACCCTGATGTTGGGAAAGATGGAGGGCACAAGGAGAAGGGGACGACAGAGGATGAGATGGTTGGACAGTGTTCTCGAAGCTACCAACATGAGTTTGACCAAACTACGGGAGGCAGTGGAAGACAGGAGTGCCTGGCGTGCTCTGGTCCATGGGGTCACAAAGAGTCGGACACGACTAAACAACAACAATGTCATCTTGTTAATCAACAAAGTCTCACACTCCATCCTGACCCCAAATGTCCTGGTGGGCTTCCTT